CTGAAATAGCCACAAAGAAAGATACCATCATATTTGCTCCACACATGTACGCCCTATGTTAGTTCTGCAGTAATAATAGCACCACATTGTGTCAATACCCGCCTGAAGGAAACCGACTCTAGTGGTATGACCTTAGCAATGGTATACATGCAGTATGGTGGAAGATGAACCTTGACCATGAGGTAGGTCACTGAAATTCAAACATCAAACTGACAAAAGGTTATCATGTGTTTACAGGCTAATGTCTGTTCTGTTTTCTTTCCCAATTTGTTTATCACTCAATAATATCCAGTTGTTTTTTGTATTCAATTATTCTCCAATTACTGTTGATGTGTTAAAGGTGTGTATCTATTGATTGAAAATATGTTCAGATTTACAATCTACAACAATTAGGTTTTTGCTTGCAAAGATCTCATTGAAACAAACATACTATGTGTATCCATCATTTGGAGTATTTTAGATGCATAAAGTCAATGTGAGATGCATTTCTATCCTGATCTATAAATGATGGTACGTATTTTTAAAGGAAGGATAAAAATTCTGTTATCTACAATGTTCCAATACTTTGAAAATGATAATGTGTTTCTTGTATAAAAATACCATTTTGTGAGTAAGCGTGTGATATATCCCGATCTGTCAACTGCTACGTAGTTTTGAAGGAATGATGATAAAACGTACTGTAATAGTTGGTAGCAAGATTGATCAAAATGTAACTTAATGTTCCAATAATTTGAAAATGATTTGAATTTGAAGGTTTCCGCTGTTAAGACGTCGGTGTACAGTGTCAGTACTGATTGGTCTTCCATGTGTTCCCACTGTCTGGCGTGCTGTTTCGGATGCCTGCATGAAAGGATTCTGTACATGCTGTCGCACAACATGGCAGTCTTGTCGTCACCCTTGGTCTGCCAGTACGGGGGTGATCTTTTGTGGTGTTGGTGGCCCGGAAACGTTGCTGCGGCATGTAGATGGTCCGAACGTTGACCTGGAAGTGACTGGCAACGGCTTGTGCAGTGTGGTCAGCTTCAAGTCTTCCTAGCGCCTGGTTCCTCTGAGCTGTCGTGACTCGCGACATCCTGCTGACGTTGTAATGTGAATGTTTCAACCAGGTTTGGGGGTGCATTATATAAGGCTAGTCCTTGTAAACAGCACGTGCTGCATGGGTTGCATGAAAAATATGGAGAACACCGTACCATCTCCGAGATCAGGTTGCGTTTTTGAGACTATTTCCTGGGTTCAATTCTGAGTTTGGGAAAGAATGTCTTTGCTCAGGTAAAGTTGAACATGTTGTCAAGAATATACAATCAAAACATTAAATGAGTTTACAGTTATCCGTTTCTGCAAAGGATAATTCCACACTGACGTTTCTTTTGCTGCTTAGCACATATGTAAATAACACCCCCATAAAAGTTTTCAAGGGGGTAATGTTCTTGGGTCTTATTTTTGATTCTCATTTAACCATTCTACACATTCTGCTACATATTAAATCCCCTAAAGCTAAATCCGAAGTGGGGAGGGGATCAAACTACCCTCCTTCACTTATGTAGATCATTGATGCGATCGAAACTTGATTATGGCTCCATCGGTTATGGTGGAGCCTGCAAAAGCAACTTAAGACTACTTGATTCGTGCACCACCAAGGCCTAAGACTTTGTCTTAGATCTTTCAGAACGTATCCTTTTGACAGTCTCTATGTCGAGGCCGATGAATCTTCTTTTAACAAACGGCGTATAAAATTACCGTTATAGTATATTACAAAACTATACTTTAACAAGTCTAACCTTGCAATTAACTGTGTTTTTAATCCTCTTTATGAGGATCTTTACAGCAAGAAGTCTTCTCTTATTCCGCCTCTAGGAAATAAGAATAAAACCTTTCCTTTCTCATGCTTTCATTGAGCTACAAAATATTGCTCCCTCCCGCCTTCTTTCTCCTCCACATTGACAAATAGTGAGGCCACAAATTGACTTAACATTGATAAAGTTGTAATGGATGGTTCACGGGTTCGAGACAGGAAGCGAGAACCTGTGAACCATCTAATTTAGCGCATGCGCATTATGAAATCCTACCGTCATACTGTGACGTGATGTAAATTTCATTCAAATCGGAGCTTTACTAGCGTGACGACGTGTTGACAGTTCGCAGCTGAAATAGAAGCCGCTCAAGACGATCTGAGAAAAATAATAACCTATGATCTTGATGCCACAGATATTTTGGATATCCCTACTCAAGCTTTGGTGTTTAAGAGAGAAGATCTGCTCTATGACAAAGATAATAGTGATCTTTTCGGTCCAGCAATTTTGAGCGACGAATTGACAGAACGCCAAAACGATCGGATACCTAAGAAAACGCGCCAACAACAAATTTGCAATGAACACTTTTGGCGTGGGGGCAAACTACCGGAATCAAAAGGCGCAAATCTTTTTCCGGGAATATTATCCTGTTGCAACTGATTTGGCGAAAACTAAGGAAAAATATATCTGCTACTGGCTGACACGTTTTGTTATGGAAGTTCGTCGCAAGGATGGGAGTGATTACCCGCCTCGAACACTGTACACCATTGTGATGGGTATTCAGCCCTATCTAGCGAAGAATGTGGGCTTCCTGAACCTTTCTGTCGAAATGTAGAGCCGACACGTGTAGTGCAGTATAGTGACGCTTTTAACTTTCGTGATGTTGTTAACCTGTTTGAAACCTACTTTAAATTTATTCCTACTGCAGGCGCTCTCTACCGCCGAAATATTCTCATAAACCGATCGGTGTGAACACTTTTGCTAAGTATTTACCTTCAAGGCATGGATATATGGGACAGACAGGTCACGAATCATTCCGCCAGGGTGTTCTCTTGTTTATCAATGTATCAGCAGGGATTTGAGGGGCAGCAAGTCATGGCCAGAAGCGGCCATCACAGCACCGCAGTGAGAGATTATAAGCGACCGTCTGAGCGGCAACTGCAGGATATCTCTAATGCTCTGCAACCCCCGAACTGTGGGAAATCGTGCCCCTCCCTAACAACTTCACCGACCGACAGTGAGAAAGAAAAAGAAACAGACTCTTTGCAGAACAGAGGTGAGAATATTCACTTAGTTCCTAGTTCTGTAAATGTCGTTGTTATTGAAAAAACTGGGCAGACAATCCAGCTGTCACTGTAAAATTGCTGAATAACACATGTTAATTTATAGCATGGTTTGTGTGTTTCTTTAACCACGTGGTAACTTCTCAGTGTAAACAAACTGCGTCAGAATGATTCGGCCAATCAGATGGCTAGTTCACCCAATACCAATCACGTAGTTTGCCATGAAACAAATCACACCATGGCATTTGGTGTTGGCGAAAACTAGCCATCTGATTGGCTGAAGCACTCTGACCATGCGCTAATAGAAAATCAGAAACTAATAAATTACATTATAAACATGAATTTAATCAATTTGAAAGTAAATATGACACATATACAAATCCATGTGTACAGATGGGACAAAGGATGCTGGTGCAGTGGCTTGTGCCACTGTCATTGGACCTAGAACAAAATCTTCTGGATTATTAGATCACAACTCAATTTTCACAGCCGAAGCAAACGCCACATTAACAGCATTAAAATATATTCAAACACACCCTAAATACAAACAATAATTCATCTTTTCATACTTTCTTTCTTGCCTCCAGGCTATTAAAAAATCTTTCTTGCAAACATCCTCTTTTAATTGAAATTATTGAATTATATAATGATCTTGCTACTGTCCAATACGATATCGTCGTCTTTTGGTTACCAAGCAACGCTGGCATTTCTGGGAACACTAAGCATATGAGCTGCCATCTCTTATGAAACATTAGATTGTTCTAACAAAAGCTATGCCACACCACCGTCTCCTCAGAGCTTCCTGAATACAACCGAAGACGCCAGAAGCAAATCACAAAGGGAAGTAATTCCTCAGCATATTCTGAACAGGTGAACACATATAGCCCAAGATCAACAAGTTCAAATCCACATTCCGTGCTTTAAACTTTTGTGACCCATAATAACTAAACATTAAATAACGTGACATTATAATTAACAAAAACACATCCTCATAACATTATTTAGAACGTCCAAAGCTGGGTTATTTCACATAGTATTAAACCACATAGGAGTAGGAAGATGTGTTACCTATATTTCCTCTCAGTGATACATTGCTATTTTTCATCATTGTGTACATCAGATATCTGTGAAATAATCAAAGATCTAAAGTTTGTATTCACTTACGGATTTTGCTTTGTCTTCCTGCAAAACATTCGGATTTTATTATGCCTTGCCTTGTGAATCAGTATTTACTTAAATAGATTAGCATACCTGACCAGGTAAGTTCAATCATAACACCAGAGCCAAACAAAGCTTGAATAACGCACGAAATAAGGTGGTTTTACTATTTGTAAATTAGTTACATTATCTATTCCAGACATGTGAAAAATGTAAACAGTACAGTATAGAATTCAACAAGAGGGACAAGAGCCTGTGTGTGCATCTTGAGGTGACTATTTGCAACAGGATTTGGGACAACAACAAAAGTAAATATCAAAGCCCTAATTCAGAAAGGGAAAAGCAGAAGAAATACGAGATAAAACATTGTGTCTCGGCCCTTAGGAATATTTGGGTGGACATCTTCTAATTCACCTAGAAGGCCTGCGTCAACAAGACCCGAGTTGGGGTAACATTGACGAGTTCATCGATGATGACCTTCAAGCCATCTTAAATGCTGATGAGACATTTGACGATATTTATTACAAAAACACATTCCAAAAGGATCATGAATTTGTGATAATTGACATTCAGCCTTCATTAACAATTATTATAACGGATCCCAAGACTAAATTCATCATCCACAAAGGGTTTATATCAGATAGCCTACAAGCACTGCAAGTCTTTTTGAAACAAATCTCAGAGCAGCAAAATTCAAATCATTCAGAAGTCATTCATTCAAGGCAAAGACAACCAGTCGTGACTTGCGATACGTTAAAAACCATAACGGAGAAAAGATATTCAGCTGAAAGGATTTGATTTCAAACCGGAAGAACAGAACAAGAAGGAGGCAATTTTGAGATATCCAGACCAGTTTGTTGATCACTTGTGGATCCTGCGTCTTCCTCTCTATGTCAGTGCTTTTTCAAAACCCAAGAGAGGAGGGTAATTTATTGTTGGCATAGGAGAGAAAGAAAAGACATTCCAGAACAAAATCAAAGGGAGGGAAGTCCAATATTTGTCTAAAACATATGAAGTTCATGGAATTGAACTGGCCTCGGACACAATAAAGAGACTTTTCAAAGATACCATGTGTCTCATTGACTACAAGGGCGACAATTTAGATAGGCTGGACGGTGCAGGCGAAAGGTGGAACACGGAAATGCAAATCCTTCTTGGTACCTCAAACATGGCATTGATATACATGGGAACATCGCTTGCACAGAAGCTAGATTTGCAGCTGACGGACACCAGCGTGGAAGGAGTTGCTTTTGATGCCTGTGTTATCGCATCTGATCAACCAGTTCAAATTCTCACCTTTGTCAGAAGCGAATTAAAGGACAAATATCATTCCCTCATTCAAAGGAATGACGAATTGTCTAAAGGTGTCCTGTATTCATTAAGAGAATTTACTGATGAAAAGTTTAACATTGTAAATGGGGTACTTGATTCAGATGATCTGAGGCACAGAGCAGGTTTTTGAAGACAAAAGGAAGGCTCTAATAGAGAAGTCCCGTCGTTATGTCAATCCCAGGTCACTTGAAATGAATTCCAGCAAATGCAAGAATTTATGCCAGGCCTTCTTCGTGGCCTCAGCTGTAGACAGACATCTCCAGATAAAATAGGTCTGCTAAAGTGGGATGTTTATATGGAAAAGTATCATGAACTAAATGAGAATGAGAATCACACATCCAACGAAACATAGATTGCTCGGAAGGAAGAGGTCAACAGAAGATTGTCAGACTCAGGCACAGCAATGCGTGGGGTGAAAAGACAGAAGTGAGTGCAATAACATACAACGGATATTTGGCTAGTTAAATGTCAGCTAAAGGTCTATCTACTTATGTGACCAAACTGAACTGCTGCTCCCTTGAAGGTCCAGTTTGAAACAGATGTTCATAAATCCATGCTTGGTTGATGCATGTCATCATATCCCAGTTGCAAAGATCGACGTTTCATGAATTCATTCAATGTGTTGCTTGGTACAGGCTGACAGACCGGTGTTATAAACACAGAATATTGCTAACTGTTATGGTCAATATTAAATGAAGTAAACTATATACTGATCTTCCTTCCTGTATAAACAGGACCAGCCCTATACTAACAGGCTTAGTATAAACTTGAATGTGTTTGGGGCATCCATATCAATGAAAGCCATGTACAAGTTGATTCGAAAAAATATATATAGTTACTGCAATATTAAATATACTGAACCACAAAAGAAATGTCGCACTGACAGCAGTTTCATAAAGGACACACTTTAATTCTCTCTAATTAACTATCAAAACGGAGGATTGAGTTCAAACTTGACAATTATGGTTAACACATTTTCGGGAATCACATTTTAGAGTGCATACAAACAAAAATCATCAAAAATAGGTACTCCTTTAAAGATACCCCATAGGTACTTATTGGGTCCATGGCCTCCATGGACATGCATCATTGATGAAGGCTATAGTCGGTCCATACTCTGGCCTGAAGAAGTGGAGTTGTCATTTAAGTTTTCTTTGAATCTCGTCCCAAAAGGTGTTTTAATGGACTTCTATCCGGACTGAGTGCAGGCTTTTGCAGGGTTTGATGCCATGTTGTCTCTCAGGAAGTCCAATTTTGCCTGGCAACAAATTAATGCAGTGTGGGCACGAGCGTTTTCTTGCTGGAAGATGTGATTTCTGTAACGTCCAAAATGTGGTATGACTTGGTCAATATAACGAGCAGCTGTCACATCATTTCCTTCTCCGGGACCAAGATTCTGGAACACCACGGTGTCAACTGACTGGTTCAGACCGATTGCACCTCACACCATGATGCTTGGTCCACCCCATGAGTCTCTTTCAACAATACACTCATTGGAAAACAGTTCCCATTCCTTCACCATACACTCACTCTGCCATCGACTGTCGAAACACAATATCGGCTTTCATGAAATAAAAGCGCAGTTCTCCTTTGTGGATGACGCCAATTTCGATGCTGAGTTGCCCATTGCAGTCGGTTTTGGCGGTGATGAGCAGTGCGGAGAAGACTACGATAGGATCTGTTACAGCAGAGGTTTCTACCGCGCAAACGTCGACGCACTGTATCGGCACTGATGGGTCTGTTGTGCGTCCTATTGCTCTGGCGTGCCGTTTCCGTCGCTCTGGGGAAGCATCCTGCAGATGGTTGCGCACCATCTGTCGGTCTTGACGTTGTGATATTACTGAAAGGCGCCAACTGCGTGGTCGGTCTCGGATGCTGTTAGTGACCTGATACCACTAATTGGGTTGGTAGATTGTCCTAACATGAACATTAAAATGATTGGCTACCCTCCGTGCAGTCTGTCCAACTTGCAATGGTCCTAAGGCTTGGTTCCTCTGATCTTTCGTAGGTCGTGGCATGGCGAATGTGTCAAAACAAAAATGATTTCAACCGAGTTTGAGACTAGCTTTCATTGGTATAGTTGTCACGACATGCACGTGCATTTTCATTTTCACGAATGTCATACGGAACCTTTTACCATGTCTGCCTTTTTTCGGTGCGTTTGGTCGATATGCTTTTTCATCATAAAACATACTAATGTTGGTAATAACTGTTAATATGGATTGAAAAATATGTTAACGAAACGGTACAATCATAATGAAAACACAACTTGTAAGTACAAAATTTTGCATTTGGTTTTGAAAGGCGACCTTTCTTTTATGGTTCAATATATAAGGATATATCTAGATATGTCGGGATGAAATGTTGTATGTATCTGAAAACTCGCTGAAGTAAAGAAAAATGTCATTTTGTAAGTAAGTAAATCTGTCAAAATGGATAATTTGACTTGTTTGACCAATAATGCAGACTATATCTATAACATATACAGTAATTGACGACAATCGTGAAAATGAGTTCATCAGCCCTGAACAGTTGAATTTTATTCACTTTTCAGAAAAGACACCATTCCACGCAATCCTGACTTCCTTGAAGATGATATCATCTCGGAGGTTTACATGGATGTTGAAGAAGTATCTCTGAATGATGGTGACTAAAACTCTTTTATATGTAAAATGACTTTTAGATATATATCCCCAAAGAATACAGTACGGACCTGCATAATTGTGGGAAGTGAGAAAACCTACAGAGATCAATTTGTAGGTTTATATATGTGTATTGAGGCTAGAAGAATTTATATCACCACTGAAACACAGCACAACTCACCAATTGAATCCAAATCCCAAGATCCTGATCATAGACACGGAATCTTGAGTTACCATTGTCTCTCTTTCAGGAAACCTTTCTACCGGACATTTGCCATATTTAGAAGATTCCTGTCATGAACAAATGTGAAATCAATCCGTACAAGATGGAGAAAAGTCTCCATCGACGGCACTGCTGAGCGTACCGGATTATTGCTTCAAATGAAATACATGTATGATGTATTTAGGCTACTCTGTTAGTTAACTTTGCCTCAGCTACAGCCATTCAGACCCTAGACATTCCTCAAACCGTTTAAAAGATACATACAAGGCAATGTTAAAGGCTCCCCACAAGTGTACACGTGTACAATGTGTGATATTGCAGTAATATTGCTAAAGGTGGGGTAAAAGTAAACTGACTCACTTACTCAGTAAGACATGACTAACCAGGGTAACAACAAATACCATCTTTTTCACGCCGTTTAGTGTGACACGGATGTGAGCTAAACTACTGAATGTCAGGGTAGAAGTTCCATCTATTGGACCAAACAGATGGTGATAACAATGTACAGTTCAATGTGTATATGTGATTAGTATGAGACACTAATCACATGATTATAATATTATCCGTTAGCGCAAAAAACATTTTCTGTCTTCAGTATCCCCATTTAGTTTCCATCTGTTGTTATCTTATGCAAGGAAAACGCTCATAGAACACTACAATATATGTCTTAACAGTGTAATATCTTTGGTTGGTTTTATTTAATTTCTTTTTGCTTCCCTACTTGTATTTTTGTAAAATATATTTTATATATGTATACTTGTTTTTATTTTAATAAAATATTTATGTTTTTGCTTTTTGTTGTTTTGCTGGTTTTGTTGCTGTTTTGCTTTCTTTATTATTGTTTGTTTAATAGCACCTTTTGCAAAGTTCCTGAAAAATGTGAGTAAATCTTCGTTAATAACGTATTGAGGCCATGGATTCATTTCGTATTATATTTCATCATTATGTCCTCAAAATGTACAGTAATTATAATCTATGGTTATAACGAACTTAATCATACCACGAAGTGTAGTTCGTTATAACCCGTTGTACGCATTTCGACTAAATATAAAAGTGGCCGGGACTAAAAGCAAAGTTTGGTACATCCGTCAGTTCGACATAAGCGTGTTCGATATAAACGTAGTTACTGTACCAGGACTTCCATGTTCGTATAGGCAAGGATTTGGTTGAGGATCTTGGCCGAAAATGGCATAATCATCCCGGTGGTTTGCAGTGTCAACAAGTGATACACGTTCGTATGGAAGTGCGTGAGTGGGTTTAGTTTTACGCTGCTTTTTGCAATATTCCAGCAATATCACGGCCGCCGACATCAGAAATGGGCTTCACACATTGTACAAATGTGGGAAATCAAACCAGGGCCTTAAGTGTGACGAGCGAACGCTTTAGCCACTAGGCTACCCCGGCGGCCTTTGATATTTCGAATACAACGTGCTACGTAAGCACAGGGTGGTCATTGCTCTTGTGCCCGTAAAGAGTAGGCGTTTTGTATATCAAGTCACTACTTTCGTTTGACTGAAATAGAATGTAAGTAATACACCGCACGCCTATATTGTCAGCTATATGTTTAGCTTATGCGAAGATTGGCCATATGCCAAAGTGGGATTTAACGTCACGTTCAAAATCATATATTGATTTTCTCTTTGTAATTACAACGACTTCATGGTGCTCACACCATTAACAAAGGCGTATCCAGGAATTTTCAAGGCGTTTTGCATTATAATAAATTTCGAACCCCTGAACCCCTACTTGGGTTGTTAATTAAGGACCAACACTATGTCTCGCTTCTGACTGTTGCATTATAATAAATTTCGTAAGCTTGTCATTAAACGTTGTGTTGTAAACGTAGCATTCGTTGTACACTAGCAAATGAATATCAAATACATGTTAACCATTGATGAGTTCCCTTGCTTAATGGTGTCTGATAAAGTTATCCGGAAGGGAATCATATTATGGTTTCATTTTACGCTGTGAACGTTTCAAGCCACTCAAGGCACAAAGTAGCGATATGAAGTGTAATACATATTAATAATAATGCTTCAACTGTACCAGGCTGGGCTCCGGAGAAACTGTATACCGCACAACCTTGTTAATATGGACAAGGAGTGAAATAGCGTTCCGCACAAACTCCTTGTAACGTTGTGACTGTAGACTGATCCCAGTTTCGAAACAATGGAAAATGATGACTACAGAGAAATTTGTAAAGACCAATCTTTTACTTCGAGATAACCATAATTTCGACACATCAAAGTTCGATACAACCTTTTTTCACTGTAGATATATGTTCAAATTGTCGTGACTCTTCTCAACTAAATGACATCGAGAGTTGTGCTATAAAGCGTTCTTAAAGTATTTCATTGTGACATTACAAGCGGTATTGACATTAATATGACATTGTTCAACTAATACTGCAGAGATCAATTAAATTATTTACCAGATAAAAACAATTGTTTGTGGGGAGTTGTAATGGCTCCCAAATACGAAATGCGGATTTTCACTTCCGCACGACTTTAATACTCAGCTCACATGCAACAACGAATACAAATTCAATATATGATCGTCATTCTCTTATGGCCCTTACTGTCTCCAATAACTGTACATGTGTAACAGTATTAGTAAGATAATACTGAACACGAGGTCTCTCGACATCAAGCAAGCACCGACTGGCAAGAAGAGGAGGACTAACAAGCCCAGTTGTATCTGCGTTTCTTGAGGAACAGATGTACGGTCAGTCAGATCCGCACACCGTGACCTCTGAAAATATTGAAACTAAATAAAAATCAATTATTTAACAAATATGTATAAACAGTATAGCACCAAATACTTGATAAATAGATCGTTAGGTGAACGGTCAGTCATATCCACATACTTCTCCTTCTGAAAATATTGAAACTAAATAAACAACTATATAACAAATATATCTACATGCTGATGTCTCTGAAAGCATTAAAAGATAACACAGCAAATATTCAATAAATCGAGATTTTTTCATGCTTTGGCGTTTTATATGAATAATTTGCGTATATTTGCGTATGTATGTATTGCAAAGAATTCATAATTTGATTTTAAAGCCTGTTTTAATAAACGTGAAACTAAGTTTTACTAGTTTGTAACGAAGAAGAGACAAGTTCATGGGGCGTAACTACCGTTATAAAAAAAACGGGCTTACATTATTGCTGCTAAAAAAGTTGGCAAGTCCTCAAAACTATCTAAACATAAAACTTTGCAACCTGTCGGGCTTACGCCCAAAGATATCTTGCTACACGCCTGCAGTTAAGCGAGAGATAGACTACGCATCACTTCATTTAAATACTAGAAAACACAGTATTACCTCCGTCAGTGATGAGGATGGAGACGTGACACCTGAAACACCAACACACATTGTTACTCACTCACTCAGGACAAGTAGTAGTACAATGATGTAGGTAGGGTATGCATGTAGGTAGGTGATTGGTTTTGATTGGGGATTTATAAGAATCTCCTTTTCGCTAGGGCTACCCATTTTTCAGCAACCATTTCTTTCGACCTGACGCCAAGGTTGCACTAAAAAATGTAGCCCTAGCGAAAAGGAGATTCTTTTAACTAAACTGGGCAGCAATGTTGTTTATCTTAGTAACTGTGATCTTGGTAGGGCCGCCGTTCCTAAGTGGGGTTAGCAACGCATTTTAAGTTAAAGTACCAATCAAACCCAATCCCCTACCTACATGCATACAAATATATATATCAAGTATACTCTTGAAATCAAGGACGCATCCAACGATCCTCACACAACCCATCCACCATTTTTTACCCTACCATAAGACCAGATTCAGACATCAATCAACCTCACATGCATCTCAACTCTCTTTTCTATACTTACATCATACAATAACACAAATACACGCTTCTATATCTGCACAAGTTCTACGGCTCTTAAGGCGTACAATGAAAACTAAGTGTAGTCATAGGCGACGCATGACGGCGGTATCTATGTCGTCATCATGCGTATCACGGGGCAGTTAGTGACACTTGTGTAAAAGCAACCTGCACAAAATGCATCTAGACCTTCGTTTCATTCTGACATAACTACACACACAGAGGCAAACATACACACACGCACATACACAGACACATACTCAAAATCGCGCACACTCTAAGGCATCTCACCATCTTTAGTTCCCTGCAAAACATTTGTCGTCCCGGTGGTTCGGTTAGACGTACGGTTCGCTAAAACTGGAGGCGTCATCTTTCCATCAGTGTCACTGAAACATACATTGTCGACGGTGTCGGCGGATGGTGCGCTCCCCGTTCCAGATGAAGATGATTTCCAACTCCTCATTGGGCTACTCCTAGTGTGTTCTTCAAAGGCATCTGACTCGTCACTGGTTGAGGATTTACCCACATCTGACTTGTCAGCAATGAATTCCCATGTTACAAGATAATCACAAGACTTTGACCTGCGAAGGGGGAGGGCAATCATGGTAGGTTTTGCCGCCTGAAAGGAACTGTAATTTGCAGAAATGGGTTCTTCTCCGGTCCAGGAATGGGACATGTGTGGACGGCACACACAGCCTATCTGGCGATGGAAACCGACTGCCTCGAGTTCTTTTGCAGTTCGTGGACTGGATTTACGGACAAGCTCAATAAATTTGTTTCTGCCTCGTTTGTTTTCCTGAACGTTCAATGGTATCAAGAGTACCCTCCACTTTATCTTCTGATCCACTGGCTTCTGGATGTCAAGGAGCACCATGTCCGACAGGTGCCCAGCAGCGTGAAGACATGATGCTACTGGTAAAACGTCAACTGTGGATGCCAGTTCACAGATGACACACCTGGAAGCCATCTCAGATGATGATCTGCAGACAGACCAAACAACTCGGATGAGACATACAGAACTGGATGTTCCTCACCCCTAAATACATGGAATAGATCACTATACAGGGAGCAATATATTCTAAGTTTTATTTGGAGGTAACATGCAAATACAGGCATTGATAAACATTTGAAAGGGGAGGGTTAACGTAGCGATACAAAAATATTTCATTCATACTTTATAAAGACACCTCTCTCAATACATCAGCTAAGTACATCGCCTAAACATTACTGGCCTCCGTGATATGCCTGAAAGGCCTCTGTTGCCTAACGATGTCATTTGCAACAAACAACTTCTGTACTGCTGAAATAACATTTATAACATCTGTATTACACGTGTGATGCTTAAACACATGATCTGCACGTATGCATGGGACTGTATTGTTGGAACAAATGATCTGCATGGGGTTGTATTGTTGGAACAAATGATCTGCATGGGGTTGTATTGTTGTAACAAATGATCTGCATGGGACTGTATTGCTGGAACAAATGATCTGCATGAAGTTGTATTGTTGGAACAAATGAATGATCTGCATTGGGTTGTATTGTTGTAACAAATGATCTGCATGGGGTTGTATTGCTGGAACAAATGATCTGCATGAAGTTGAATTGTTGTAACAAATGATCTGTATGGGGTTGTATTGTTGGAATAAATTCTCTGCATGGTACTGTATTGTTGAGATATATCATCTTCATGCGACTGTATTACTGCACTGTACTGTTTTCAAGGTATGACAACCAAGAATACGGCTGCTTTGTAAAACAAAAGCCAGTAATTATACACTCAGGAATATCAGTGCCTACATTATATGGACTGGCACACCAATCATCATCATCAATGCAGTGTTTGTGTGTTTTGTTTTTGTAAAAGGTTAACAAAGGCATCTAACACTTACCTACCTTAAATATCTCCGTCGTGTAAGTCGGTAACTTCGAATGAGGAATTCACTTTTGTTGACATTCAAGTATGCACATTTTTATTATGTAGGTCATCCCACGCCACTATTTTTAACCATTACCAGTATGTGTATTCAAAATGACCAGTGACAACCCCATACAATATCTGTATGCATACAGAATAATGCACAGCATGTGGCGACATTCTCCTGCGTTTTCAAAGGTGTATTTTATTGTGTATGTGCGTAGTGGGTATGTAGAATGAGATTACATACTCATGGAAAAGAGTAACGCAACACCCCATTTGTACGGGATGTCGGGTCACCCTTCCACAGTTACCTTCTCGTATTGCCGTTCCATGTCGTCATTGTGTATATAAGATTTGATCCGAGAATGTGGCTTAGTCAATGGGTGAGGGGTGACTCCAAAGGTGAGGTGAGGTGAGATGAGGTGATATCGATTTAACGTCGTACTTAGGAATATTTCGCTCTTATTACGACGTGCATACGTATATATGGCTGCTTGTACAAGCCCAAACTTAAGCTGGTTTTATAGCGCTAGCTCACTGGGATACCATGCCGCAGTTAAGCATGAATACCTCACTCGGACACATTATACTGACTCAGAGCCGACCAGTCCTTGTCGTGTCCATTAATGCCGAGCGCCAGGCAAGGACGAACAAGTACCATATTTTAACGTCTTTTGGTATGACGCGGCCGGGGATTGAACCGACCTTCCGCTCTCCGGGCGGATGCTCTAACCACTACACCACGAAGGCGGTAGACTCCTACGTGTTAACATTATATTCATGCGCTGACACACATTCATACAAAGATGGAAGCAACGCCAGGTGCTGTACTAAAGTTTACTTTGCCTGAGTCCATCTCACCAACTAAAACTTTAACATAAGACAGGATAGGCTCGTACCCCTGTAGGAAAAGTGTAAATTTCGCCTCGGTCAATTTTGGAAGCCCCCACCACAAGTCCATGGTATTATTTATTTTCATTAAAACAAATATTGAGATTAACAACAGCATACATATTCTAAACCACTCACTGAACCCAATGTAAAAAAGGAATGTTTCCAATTTTTCCCATTATCTCATTGGCGGCCATTTAAAAATGGCTGCCACATTCAATTATGTGCCACCTTTCATTCTCTACTTGTGTTGAAGGTATCTATCAAGTGCTCGAGTCTGACCTGCCCTTGATCACTTGCAGCACTAAATTATTTTTCTTCTTTGGAAGTTATAGGGGTATTTAGTCTTAAAATATTCTACTAATTACTAAACTTTACCACACCTGAAGGTCCAGGTAATAATATACTACATCCGTGGTTGTCAGGCTTGCTGACTTGTTTGACACATGTCATCGTATCCCAGTTGGGTAGATAGATACTCATGCTGTTGATCACTGGATTGTTTGGTGCAGATTCAATTATTTACAGAATATAGGTGGAATATTGCGGCGTTAAACAAACCAAATCAAAACTCCGAACACTGTTTTTGGTCAACGAGATGTTATGAATCAGACAGTGGCATCCTTGTGTCCAACAAAACTTAGTTGTAGATAGATTTAGGGCGATCATTGCCTACAAAATTACCCTTTAAAATCAGCGGCAGCGGATAACGCTTATGCACAGTTAAACATAGAAGAATGAATAGCTTGAATTATATATGTACACTGAAAGAGTATGGTCTTTTGCCGGTTTTAGCAGGAGACTATATAACGTTGTAGATTATTATCCCTGTAACATTCCAGCAATATTACTGCGGGGACACCAGAAATGGGCTTCGCACATTGTACCTTTGTGAGGAATCGAACCCGGGTCTTCGGCTTGACGAGCGAACGCTTTAACCACTAGTCTACTCCCACCGTCCCTGTGTACACAGAGACAGTTATAATGTTACCAGACATCTGTAACAAAACTCCAGTCATCAGCATGCACGTGATTCCAGACAAGTACACTTGTACAACAGCAGACTCGGTTGTATTGGCCTCACCGATCTCCCTCTTGTTCAAAGGTTTGTTGGTTGGTTTTACAGTTTTAGGGCGACGTGGCCCAGTGAGAGGCCTATTTGCGCCCAACACATTGACATGATTTAATAAACAATCATAGGTAATTTCATCGCCAAAAGGAATCGTTTAGTTCAGATAAAAGAAACGACAACACTATTAATATTAATTTGGATAGATGTATACATACATGTATATCGAATAATCTCTGTTTTGTGTTACGGATTAATAAGCTTAAGTAATCACTTCCATTTCCGAAACATGAAATACTCATTCTTTAAAAAAAGCAGTAGGTTCAGATGACAGAGTGTTAAAATGATCCAAAACCACAGAACTATATCTGTCTAAGCCATTAGAGAGCTTGTCTGCAATACATCATATTTTCCAGATGACGAGACAAAATCTAAAACTGCCCGTTGCACAGACCCATACATGATATTGGGGCCCAAAACTGTTTCTAATGAAAATACATCATCAGCCTCAAGTACAGCACTTCTGAGATTATGTCTTCTGTTGTTATGCCCAGGGCATGTAATTAGATAATATTCGATATTTTCAGGCGTCTCCAAATTGCAATGACCACATTTAGAAGAGACCGTCTTATCTATAATACTCCTGTAAGCATTTAGCCCACAGTGTCCAAGTCTGAGACGTGAAAGAATAACCTCATCACGCCTTTTACGACGACGAATTTTATGACCAGATTTTAGTGATGCTCTAAGTTTGTACATATGTCGGCCGGACTCTTGTTCGAAGGCTCTTGTGCAGAGTTACTGCCCTTGGTTGAGTCAGAAACCTATGAAGTGTGTCCCAGTAAGGTGTTTGAGCTTTACAATGACGTCATCGTGCTCGTTGGTTTTACTAGTGCGTATCCCAGTTGCGTAGAGAAATCGTGAGAATAGCCTTAATTTTGTCACATGTAGCCTGACAATTGCTTTCCCAAACTAATTGCTCTCTTTTGCCGAGGAAATGAGTGAGTGGAGATGCCTCAAGTAAGATATTTTGACAAACTGTGATCACAGAATTGTCTGATGCAGACTCGATTATTTATGACAGCTGTCATATAGCTGTAATAGTGCCGAGTGCGTCGTTAAACAAACAAACAAACATCTAGTTTCACCACATGGTGATCTGCAAACTAGTGTCTGCCTGTCTGTCAGTCTGTACATATGCCGGATTTATCATGATATCCCATAAGCATAACGGTCAGAATAATGGCTCAGAGACGCTCAGTACTTCGATTATCCGATAGCTGCTGAGCACCAGGCAGGGAAACAACAAGTACCATAATTCACCATCTATCGGTAATGACGGCATCTCTTTCCACAAGACAACGGAGGAAGTCAGACACAGTGGACTACTTTTAAGTACACTTGAGTCAAACTTATATATCTTCAAATTACCGAAGCCGGTTCCAAATTACAACACAATAAAGACTTACTCGAGATCGACACATGTTATTATGTAATCAACAAAGAAAATGACAAGCAAAGGCAACTATATGTAATTTGAAGAGCAAAAAAAAGTCACTTGAAAATATTCCCGAAAATATACATGGGTGTAAACATGCATGAAGGAGTAGTCTCCCTTGTCTCAAGACATGCTCTGCAATTGTCCAGCACGAACGCCATATGAGATATTAAAGGTGCGCTACATTTGGTTCCCCTGCTTGAATGTGAAGGTTATACTTTTGCATTTTATTGTAACGTAAATGTCATATTAATGCATTATAATATTATAATATTACCATTGCAGTGATAAACCCAAGTTATTTATCTTAAATCTGAACGAAAAATGACTCCAAAATTAATACTGAACATTCAACATATTGAGTAACATATGAATTCCCCTAAAGTCATGATAGTATTTGATTAACAAAACCGGAAAAGACCGCAGCAATAACCTCAGTATCAGGTGAGGCATACAACTCCTGTTAACATAAGCAATCAGAACCTTCTGACAGCTGTGATTGGATGACTGACTGAGTTTAGTTTTACGCCGCTTTTAGCAATATTCCAGCAACATCACGGCGTGGCACACCAGAAAGGGGCTTCACACATTGTGCCCATGTGGGGATTCGAACCCGGGTCTTCGGCGTGACGAGCCAACGCTTTAACCATTAGGCTACCCCACCGCCCCCCTGTGATTGGATGATATTGTGTAAGAGTTATGTGTTTTTTAAATGTACATGTACATTCATTAAAACTGATTTTTCAGTATTAAGAGCTGTCTTTTTAACACAATGAGTTATGCTGAATGTGTGCATAGATATTTTCAAGTAGGTGACATTTGGTGCGGAACTGTGGTAAATGGAAATGTAACTGGTTAACCAAGCATATACAGTTATAGTCCGTTTGACTTCATTTTAGACAGATGAACTGCTCACAACACAAAATGTATTAAATGCAACAAAATCAATCTTTGCACCGCGTACATGAAATCGACAGTTCAACTCTGATGACAACCAAGTGTGCGAGTTGTATCTGTGAAATTGAAATTTCACTACACACACTTGTTGATTACCTGGCTGTTGTACCAGCAAGTGGTCCCCCCTTGTAAGAAATAGCGTGACAACAAAATAATGGTCGTTTGTTAAACAACTTTATTATTCGGGTGTCCAAAATCATGAGATAAATCATCAGAGTTGGTCTGACGTTTATTGACGTTTATGGGAAAACATTTGGTTTTGTGTAACCTGCATTCACCCCCATGCCACGTGGTTGGAGAAACAATGGATTTCCAGCCTATGAATTCAAACACCGTTCATCTGCATTGAAAATCTGCAGGTCCGCTTTCGGAAAGAATTCCTTTTTGACAGAGTTCTGGCACTTCCGGGGTGCACTGCATGCCTGATGGGGTGGGGTGTGGGGTGTGTGTCTGTATATCCTATCTTCTGTGAACAACATCGCATAAAAAACACGTACAGTCATAGCAAGTGGTAATATTCTGAATCGCCCAAGCAGCGTCCATTGAACGTTCAACAAAACATGTAGCAGTTAAGTAACGTTTTTGCAACGTCATAAAAGCCGTGGATGATCACGCTCCCTATTCTCTAGCCATTCCTGCTGATGTAGATCTGTATGCATATCAGTGCTATAATGGCCACCAGGAGACCAGTCGGCAGCAGATGCATCACAACTACGAGGACGGTTAGCAAAGCTTGAAATACCCAACCAAGCGACGTCGCTGGAATTTGAATTTTTGTCTGGAAAAAATAATTAAATCACTTTTATCTTGATACAAAAAATAAAATGTACCACAGAAACGTAAACAGTTGTAAAACAGTAACGAAATCATCGCATCTGTATTGTATAACGGAACACTGAAAGTGAAATATGACAGGTATTGAGACATGACTTACTGAATTAATTCAACATGTATTTTTCAATTCTGTATGAATCTGTACCTCATGCAGCCATAAAAATTCATAGAAACGTCGTGATAAATTGTTACATAAATTAAACATCGATCTAATCTCACCTGCGACTGAACTGGTGGCGTTTTCTGAGTATGTCCGCCTGCAATAGTCAAAACAAAAAAATGACTGAGAACAGTCGAAGCCTTTGTGTCGAACTTGCTAGCCCCTGAATACAGCTTACGTTATAAAGGGTTCGAGACAACCAAAACGTGAACTGGCATTATTGTTTACATTCTGAACTCTGAGGTTTATGCTTAATTTGTATACCTGGGGACGATCAAATGGTTTCGAGTCCATCGTGAATTGGATACTAGGTGAGGTCGAGACTCTATAATAGAAATTGGTTGAAATATATATACAAATGACTGTCCCAAGGACGTAGTGGTTTTTCAGTCGGGTAAGTGAGTCAGTTTAGTTTTCGGCGCCTTTAGCAATATTCCACCAAATGAGCTTCACACGTTGTACCCATGTGGGGAATCGAACCCGGGTCTCACGCGTGACGAGCAAGCGCTTTCACTATTATGCTTCCCCACCGCCCCCCCAATTCGGATGAGGCCCAACAACATTAATAATTTGAACATCACCAATGTTCCATTAAAGTATGAGTGCGGCTGTTATGCACTTCACCATTATTCAAGTTACCTCACCGAGGGAGAATGAATAGGCTTGACACAGATTAAAGTAATAAGTCGATCACGAGTCATTTGCTACAAGGCTACTTTATCGCCCGTGTTCTAGAATATGCAATAGGAACCAGAAGACATGTGTCATTATGTAATTTCGAATAGGACAGAACAGAAAATAGTTTCCGTGTCACACTTCCTTCCCTGAATCAACTCCTTCATATTGAGGGAACATTACTCAACCTAAGTGTGCAAATGGGTGAGAAATCATTTACATTTTCAAAACTGAAAGAGAATTCCGTGTGTAGATTAGCATACTAATAAAAAATTGTGTTTGATTTTTAATAAAACTTTAAAATTCAAACAATGTGGATGAGAGAGGTGTGTTCTAATATTAACAAAAACCTGTTAAAATTGTTCATTGTACCTACCGACATGTTTTGTGGGAACCCTGCTCGTACCCTGTGATACCAGATCCTCAGACGCAAGCACCTGCACATCGTCAGAATCGTACACCTCCCCAACTGGATTGTGTCTCTCTTGTTCAACACTTTCGTGGATGATCTGTCCGTGTATCGTGGGTGTCTTCTCTAATGAGAAACCTTCTGAATCTACAGATGAACTGGGTTGTCGATGGGTTGCTCCATTGTTACCTTCCGAGGTACGATCGACAGAGTCTGACTTAAATAGCCTCTCAGGTGCATCAACATAACTTTCTTGATCAACCACAACGGCCTCAGCCCCAACATCAGCCTCAGCCTCAGCCTCAGCCTCAGCCTCAACATCAGCATCAGCCTCAGCAACAGCAACAGCAACAGCAACAGCAACAGCGGCATCGGCATCGGCCTCAGCATCAACATCAATATCAGCCTCAGCCTCAGCCTCAGCATCAGCATCAGCATCAGCATCAGCATCAGCATCGGCATCGGCATCGGCATCAGCATCAGCATCAGCATCAACATCAGCATCAACATCAGCATCAGCATCAGCATCAGCATCGGCATCGGCATCGGCATCGGCATCGGCATCAGCATCTCAGCATCTCGGCATCAATCCCAGCATCTGAATCAGCATCAGCATCAGCATCAACATCAGCATCAGCATCAGTATCAGCATCAGCATCAGTATCGTCGTCGTCATCAACATTATCCGATCTTCTGTCCTCACTGGATGCTTCGTTTTTCTGGACTTCCATGAGTGAAGTCTCGTCAGAGTCAACACTCTCATCTTTATGGAAAGTGTCAGTGTATGGGTTTATCTGTCCATGGTGATATTCAGGGTTTTTTGTTGACTGCTTACCATGTAAATCTTGTTTTGAGTCTTCATACCTGAACCCTGATCTCTGGTAAATGGCTTTAATAAACCCTGCACCATGATCTTGATCAGCCTGAGACTGAAGTTTATCTACAGGCTTGCCATCCAAGCTAGAACATGAATATTCGATCAAAATATCAAGGGATTTTGACCTTCGGAGAGGTTCCCAAGTGTGAGTTGTTTTCGGAAACTGGAGTGACATAAATTTGATTTGATCGTCCTGTGGGTCACCAGCTTTGGTATTGTCAATAAGACCACACACGCAGCAGATTTGACTGATCGTCTCAAGTTGTTCCGCAATCTCTGGATTGACTCTCTGAATTAGTTGGACAAATATCATCCTTGCCAGCTTCTGTTGGTTTGAGTTAATCTTTCGTAAGAGTCCCCGCCATTTTATTCTTTTTGATACAGACGGCTTCTTGAGGTCTTGATAGAAATCCTCGGACAAACAGCAGAAGTCATTCAGTGATTCCACAACTGGCATAATCTTGACTTCAGCCATCAGCCTACACATGGCACACACCTGTTGTACCATTATGTTGGTTAGCGAGCACCTGCAATCAATCAAAGGTAGAGTCAAACACTGTTGTGTCGAAGTTTGATGTGTCGAACCTCAACTAAAATATTGGTCCCTGCGTATTCCTTCTTTACTCATTATTTCACGCTGTCTCTAACTCCGGATAACTCGAAGTAGTCATTAACTTTAACTTCGACAGAACCGTGTTTGACTATACATAGACATACAAAGGTATTTCGGTTAGTCTAAGCACCCAGTCCACCATTAATAACAGTTTGTTTTGTTTGTTGCTTGTGTTTATCCCGCATTCAGCAATATCCCAGGTAAATTCTGTTGATAATCGAGTCTGGACCAGTCAATACACCATCAACAGTGATCTACGCAATTGGGATGCATCAACCAAGCTAGCGAGCCTGACCACATGACCCGGATCTTCACAGGTCAGATTATATTCGTGCTTCCACGTACATGGGGGTTTCATTGAGGGCCTGCCTTGTGGATGTTTTGAGCTACGTGGCAACTACTGGTGAAAATGCCAGTTCGGTCAAATCAGGAATTAACCAATTACTAGACATCGATAGAAAATTGCTTCATATGTTATGTATTTTTCAATACGATTTTAATGACTAGAGCCATTTTATCATCGAAGCGTGCTCAAATCGATAGTCATTTAAATGCTACTTCAGTCGTTTTTTTAAGATACATATCACAACTAACAACGACCAGCTATTCCTTGTTCGAGGCGACAAAGTACGGTATTGATATCAAACATCGTTCGAAATAGAGACAACAAACAAAATGTTTACAGACCCGTGAGGATCCGGGTTAGAATTGGTCTTTAGCAACCCATGCTTGTCGTAAGAGGCGACTAACGGGATCGGGTGGTCAGGCTTGCTGGCTAGGTCGACACATGTCATCGTATCCCAACTGCGTAAATCGATGCTCATGATGTTGATCACTAGATCGTGTGGTCCAGTCTCGATTATTTACAGACCGCCGCCATGTAGCTGAAATATTGCTGAGTGCGGTGTGAAGGAAAAAAACAACCAACAGACGTACCCATGCCGTTTAAGGTAAAAAGCTTTACACTTTTGTTTTTATGTTAAAGTATAAGTTATTCATGTTGGGAGAGTATTCTTTTGTCAGCGCCAGTGGAATATTTATATGCTCAATAACCAGCGAATAACATTAAAAGTAAGTGTTTTGGGTTGTTCTGTTGTTTATTTTGGGAGTTTTTTTTGTTTTTTGTTTTTGTTTGCTGCTGTTGTTGTTGTTTGTTTGGGTTGTTGTTTGAGGTTTGTTTGTTTGTTTATTTTTTGTTTTTGTTTTTGTGTGTGTGTGTGTGTGTGTTTTGTGCTGTGTGTCATGAGCAACGATCTACGCAACTGGGATGGGATGACACGTGTCTGTTGCTGAAGACCAATTCTAATCCGGATCGTCACGTGTAAATCAAGTGATGGTGGGGTGTATTGTATCATATCTTCCTTGTTTGAGTGGCATTTTAGAAGTTGGATGGTAGACTATTGACCAAACTTTATGGATAACAATTTCTTTATTTCGTGAGAGCATAAAGTTTGATAATATGATATCTTCCGATCCTAAATTTTGTAAACAATTCATGATGAACTTAGTGTTATTGTCAAAATAGAATAATAACTGCATATGTTTACGTATGACTTCCCGTATTCGCCATAACAATATTAATCATTCAGTAACAATATTCTGTGTGAGATTACGTGTGTAACTAGCTGTTTCGGTTTACAGTGAAGATTTCCCTGTCACTATCACCACAAGCATCCGTCATAAGCCGATTTAAAAGATCATCAGTGCAAATTCCTTCTTTTTCTTTCACGACAACTACACACAAACCTGTTTATCAACTTTCTTCTTCTTCTGTTTGAGTGGCCTTTTAAGCAAGTAACTGGAAATATGTCCAACGAACAACACCGTTCCCCACACACTACATCACGGCATGTACCTCCTAGCTGTACGAACACAGAAGTAAGTAGGTCGTGATGAAATACAAAGGGAAGTAGGACACATCCCTGCGGAAGTCCTGTCTGCGTTGATACTGATGCGGAGTTGTTTATGTCCTCAACTTGTTTGTTTGCTAATTTATACGACATGAACTATAAAATATGTGAGGATCACCGACTACGCACAGCCTTCAATATTATTGAATATTACGTTTGGTGTTAAAATATAGAGATATTACAATTTCTGTTATGTACCTCTGCGTTTCCAACACAGTATAAGTTTATCTCCATTCTACCATAACAACTTTATAAAGATTTTTCAAAAGGACTGTGTTGGAAAATCAGATGTATACAGCGTGATTTTAATAAACCTATCCCAATCCAGTATTTACTGAAGTCATGGTAGAATGCTAAATGGCGTAAAAGTGTTCAGTCACAATAGCTGAAAGTTGTGTCAAGAACCATGAGTAGTCATATTATTTTTACTACTCTGCAGAGGCTATAATTCCATATGTGTTAGGCTAGTGGTTATCGCAATAGCTGATGACATCGAATGTTAGCGTTAGATTGCGTACGTGTGTAGAGTGTCTGTAGCGTGTTTACATTATGACATGGCATTATTTCCTGGTACAAATTACAGCGAAAACACTGTACATCACCAGGCTGCTCCTGCAGAGTGGTTTTGCGGACATGTTGCTGAAATTGATTATAAATATGTTTTCGTTCAAAAATACATTTATAACCAGTCAGTTTGTGGAAACTTCGAAATTTCTTTCCCTTAACTGTTTTGACAACACTATGAAACGATACACATACTTCCATGTTGTATTATCAGTTATATAATATTGCCCGCTAAGGACATGGTATACAATCAATCCTTCTGTATTTCTAATAGGATTCTGCTTGTACTTACCAACCAGCCTCAGCTATTTCGTTAAGTAGCCTTGCCTTTCAGGACAGCCTGTTTAGTCGGTTTAACATTCTCACTCATACAGTTGAAAGGAAACAGAACAGGTTAATCCAGATGTAACTTCCTTAAGAAGGATCATGTGTTTGCGACAGTCACGTGTTTCGTGTGTGTCGGTATTTGTATATTTACGTCTTGGTTGTACCTCTCCTGTTGCTCATGGATTCGAATCCCAGATTCGAGTGAGTGAGTGAGTGAGTTTAGTTTTACGCCCCACTGAGCAATATTCCAGCTATATGGCGGCGATCTGTAAATAATCGAGTCTGGACCAGACAATCTAGTGATCAATATCATGAGCATTGATCTGTGCAATTGGGAACCGATGACACGTGTCAACCACATCAACGAGCTTGACCACCCGATCCCGTTAGTCGCCACTTACGACAAGTATTGGTTGCTGAAAGCCAATTTATACAGAAACTGATGTGGTTTTGTCGGCCCAGCCTACATATCGCCGAGTTGTAGCCATACTATTGCTGATAAAACAGCGAAAAAACAATCGAATGAAAAGGAAGGAACCATTTTAGCATTGACGTGTCATGTCTTAATAAGTGATCAAATAGTTCAGACATGGGGAACGACAAAACATAATCGTAAGTGGTGTCCAATGTAACACCATCGAATTACATCATGTGATGTCCAAATACATTAGGGGCGGTGCGGTAGCCCAGTGGTAAGAGCGTTTGCTCGTCACGCCGAAGACCCGAGTTCGATTCCCCAAATGGGTACAATGTGTAAATCCCATTTCTGGTGTCCCCCGTAGTGATATTGCGGGAGTATTGCTAAAGCCGGCGTAAAACTAAACAGCTCACTCACTCTGTCCCTTCGCATTCCATTACGAGCTTGACATAACTGACGTACTGGTACATGTCCGGTGTTTCACAGTCACACTCATTCTCACTCTGGGGCGGTGGAGTAGCCTAGTGGTTAAAACTTTAGCTCGTCACGCCGATAACCTGTGCTCGACTGCCCACACGGGTACAATGTTTGGAGCCTATTTCTGGTGTCCCTGTCGTGATATTTCTGTAATATTGTTAAATGCGGTCTAAAACTAAACTCATTCTCACTCTTACACTCAACCAACCAACCATGCAGCCAACCGACCCATCCACCCGTCCGTCCACAAATCTGTAGTATGTTTCGAGATTGGTCAGTATCACACTGTGCTCGTTATGTTCACCAGAGTGATGCGCACACAACGAACATACCTTTCAAAGCACTCTTAAACCAACCCTTGGTAAGTACACTCTTACATGATCGCATGTAGGAGAGGGAAACTAGTGGTTGATAACATGAGTAACAGTCCGAGCTGGTGTCATACCTCGGTCACCATCTAGGTCATATTGTAAATAAATACCTTAGAGTCAACATTGGTTGCAGACTCTTTCAGTGTTGTCACAACACCTAGTGTACAGTACACAAACAAGTGCACTTAAAAGAACCCACGAATCCGTCGGTAAATGACCAGATAGTGGCCATATGATTACGTGCAAATACCTAGTTGGATAAACTTGGATAAAGTACTGTAGCTATGTGTCTCAGTCCACCCAGCTGTGAATTGGGTACCTCCTAAATATGAGAAAGCCACATAAACTCGATTGCGCCTTGTGGCTTCAAGAGTTGTATGATCCCCAGGGAGTTGAGATTGATAATACGATGTGCCGTTGAGATTGACATCCTGTGCTCGAGAAAATAACCCTTCAGCGTGTACTAGTTGCGTGGATATGTGCGCTATATAAAATATCCAATAATAATACCAAGAGAGGCCACCCCTTCACCAAACCTGGTCGATACACATGGACTGAGAGGTCCTGGGGCTCCATTCACGAAGCAGCCTTTACTAAGGTTAACCTTAACTCCCATTTTTCGCATTGCACTAAGGCTACCTTAGTGACTTACGATCACCTTAGTGCATTGTGGAAGGAGGCCCATATGAGACAGCATTCGTGAACGCCGAATACCTTTCAGTTTACTAAAAGGGGCGAGTGGTGACGAAAGCTGAGAAAGCTCATCTCAATATCACAAGAGTTAGATCCCTTGTTACGTCGCCCGCGATATGCACACTCCTGTTCGATGAAATCTGTTCCAGTTCAAAGCTGTTTCCATTCTTACGTCATCGATCTTTGTTGTAAACACATTGTTTATTGACGAGAATATTGTCAAATTTACGGATGGGATTTAGAAAAGTAGAGAATTCGGTGTTAAAGGTGCCCTTGTAAAGAAGATTTAATTCAGTACTAAATTACCGTAATATACCGAATGATCCAATAGTGACAAACATGGGGCCAATCAGAGGCTACTTGGACACATTTTTGGATCACGTATCATGACTAGATCGCATGATCGAGCAGTACTGTTTCAAATGATATCGCCCATTGATTCAGGGATTCCAGATTGACCGGGTTTCATTGTTTATCATGTGGCGCACATGTAATAGTATCCATAATCATTATGACAATAACGATTACATATGTTTTAGGTTCAATCCAACCAAACGTGTAATAACACATTGCCATGAATAATAACCTCACATGTATTTAACTGTTGTATAATTAGGAGATACACTGTTTTCATTGTAGAGGTTTCAAACGTACATGCAATACCTGTGAAGAAAGAGGATACGGCCATGACATGACTCTGTTCCAGTTATTTCCGTCCATTCCATCATGTCTACCAAAGTTACAACTCCGTAACATGACGTACTTTCTCACACCACAATACTCTTCTAACTGTTCTGTGGACACAGGACCCGAGAAATAATTTCTCATTTCCCTTCCCACTAAAAGTCTGGGTCCCGATACACAAAGCTATCGTAGCGCTACGACATTCGTAAGCCTATGATAAACTATAGAGTTACGACAGGTCGTAACGTTACGAACGCTTTGTGGATCCGGCCCTGTTCTTTATTTCAACTAACGAGGCTGCAGGAAATACGGTCTTCCAGAAATGTTCACCCTTCTTGCACATTCCTCACACCACTCATAAGTTTTCGTCTGTTCACTAAATGCCACAAAATGCCACTATGCTTTGTCGTAAGAGGCGACTAAGGGGATCGGGTGGTCAGTTTCGCTGACTTGGTTGACACATGTTATCGGTTCCCAATTCAAGTGCGCAGATCGAAGCTCATGCTGTTGACACGATTATTTACAGACCGCCGCCATATAGCTGTAATATTGCTGAGTGCGGCGTAAAACTAAACTCACTCACTCACTGATCACTAACCTCCACCAACTGGGCGGTAGCGTCCCGGATGTCCGTTCAACACGCCAAGCCCCAGTTTGAATCCCACTTGGATAACGATAGCGAAGTCAAACCCCGTCGTTCCTTGGAAAATTGCTGACGCCCCTGACCCGTTAAGATCCAGGTTAGAATTGGTCTTCAGCAACCCATGCTTGTCGTATGAGGCGACTAACGGGATCGGGAGGTCAGCCTCGTTGACTTGGTTGGCATACATCGTCGTATCTTAGTTGCGTAGATCAGTCCTCATGCTATTGATCACTGGATTGTCTGGCCCAGACACGATTATTTACAGACGGTCGACATATAGCTGGTATATTGCTGGAGTGCGGCGTTAAACAACAAACAAGTTCTAGCCCACATTGACACTTAATACAACGCGCACGTTAAATACCTTATCATGTCAGTCTCTCTTAATTATTCACGAAGACACAGGTTAGTTCCTATTTTTACTAAATTTACACGTCTTGTCTCTCACTTGATCTGCCTGTTATTCTCGGGAGATGGATATTGTATAATCCCGATCACGGAAGAATTTTCGTCCGTACAATGTGTGAAGCCTGTTTCTATTGTTCCCCCCCCCCGTCATATTGCTGGATTATTACTGAATGCGGCGTTTAATAACAAACAACCTTAAGCCCACACTGACTCGTAATACAACGTGCACGTAACATCCTCCTTTCATGTCAGTCTCTATTACTTACTCACGCAGACACAGGTTAGTTTCTTCACACCTCACTACGCCACACAAATGCACACTTCGTTACCGCCACACAACTGCACCCCACACTCCGTCACATAACTGTGCACCTCTACTACGCCACACAACTGCACACCACACATCGCCACACAACTGCACACTTCACTACGCTACACAACTGCATACCACACCAGGCCACACAACTGTGCACCACACTGCGCCACACAACTGCACACCTCACTACGCCACACAACTGTACACCTCACTACGCCACACAACTGCACACCACACTACGCCACACACTGCACACTTCACTACGCCACACAC